GAATCTGTCTAACCCTGAAACTTTGATCTTTGTCCCTACATCAGGCACAGCCAAGGAACTGAGTCCTCCACTCCTGAGGGGTTCTCAGAAATGCAAATTGTCCACTGTTCTGCCTCAGCCTCATCTATCACCTCTTCAGTCCCCAGCTCAGGAATAAATGAGTGGCTTTAACTGTAAATTAGGGTCAGAAGGAGGGAATTTGGGGACCCCTGAAGAAAAAAAAGTACAAGACAAAAAGCCAACAAGTTTGCAAGTCACATTCTGAAGGAAGCTGGAAACCTATACCAGGGACAGTGACTGTAAGAATTTGCTGAGAATTTCCATGTGTTCTTGCTTTCTTCTTGTTTCACCTACAGTACAAAGGGCTTCTTATTTTGAGGGTGCAACAAGGAAGGGAAAAATTAGTGCAGAAAATATATTCAGGTGTTCGGGAACAGGGAATCCATAGCAGGGGTGGACGTAGGGAGTGAGTTGTGAAGCCACACAGATACCTAGGAAAAACAGGCTCTAGAAGAGTTGTCTTGGGCCAAAGGAAAGTTCCTGAGTTAACAAAGTAACAATGGCTACCACTTACTGAGCACCTACAAAGCTCCAGGCACAGTGCCCAGTGCATTCCATCCATTATCTCATTTAATCCTTTCAACAGTCCCTTACAGAGCAGTTCCCGTTTTACCCTCACTGTATGGCTGAACAAACACTGGAGTTAAGGAACTCACCTAAAATCATACAGCCAAGAAAGAAGTGGCAGAATCAGGGCCTACACTCAAAACTGACCCTTGAGACTAGATCATCCCTTTGGAGCTACACAATTCAGAAGCTTTGACCGCCATCATCTACCCCACCATGTACTCCCTTGGGCTGCTTGCCTCAGTTCTTCCGATGAGTCTGGATTTTCACGTTTGTTATCTTTGGAGATGCAAGCATCATTTTCCCTGAGTCACTGGCTTTTCCTCATCTCTCCCCCAAACACCTGTAGAAGCCCCTGGGTGCTGCTGCTTGTAATGGTCTCCCGAGATTGTGAGCCCAGGAGACTGTGCCATCCCCACTCATCTTCAGATCCCCTGTGCCCAGCACAGAGTCCACACACACAAGAGCCCCTCCCTTGCTCCTGTGCTCAGTGAATAAATGTGGCTTTGGGGCCAGACGCTGAGCTACAGCGCCAAGCTCCCTTCCCACTCCCAGTTGGTCGGAGAGAGTGAACGAATGTTATTTACAAAAACACCAAGCCAAACAAGACCCTCCCTTCCTTGACAAACTGAAGCTGTGCTGGGAACAGCCAGGGGTCACCAAATGGCCGCCAGATGGTGACTGGCTGCTGCTCCCTAACTCCAGGAGCCTGAGGCAAAAGGCTTGGTGGCCCACCTGCTCCCAGGGACTTGTGACCGATCCACTTTGTAGGGAAAGCCCAGGCAGTTCCCTCCTCCTGAGCCCCTCATGCGATGGGCTCTGGAGCAGAGACTCACCGGTTCCCACCGTCTTAGGGACCCCCCAAAGGCTAGGCTGGACAGAGACAGAGTCCACCCACCAGGGATAGGTGTCGCTTGCTTCCTCCCTTACTTCTTCCATGACGGGGGTTAGCGTGGACTCTGTAATGCTGACGGGAGTCGGGGGGATGGTATGGTAGGGGTTCTCATCCCTAAAATCACTAAATCAGAGGGAGCAGGCCAGGGCTGAGGGTGTGTGGGTAATGGGACTGACGCCAGAAGCTGGAGGAGGAGAGAAGGATTTCTGCAGTGTCCCCAAACAAAGAGGGCGGCCCGGGCTTTGGGGAGAGTTCTGTTTCCCTAGATCTCATTCAGCACCATCTCCTCCGCCTACCGATCCGGGAGGCCACAGGCCTCCAACTGGTTATCAAGTCCTGGAGCGTGAGGGCCTTTGTCTCCCCTTTGGACTACTCACAGGCTGGGCCAGGGGCCCACAGATCCTTCGTGACCTCCCGGCTCTTTGTTATCTATCTCCTAGGGAAGATTGCATTTCTGGGCAGGGAGGCTGGGTGCCAGGAGCCCTCCAAGCAGGACGGCTGCTGGCCGAGCTGCAGCTGACCCCTGCTGCCTGCAGCGGCTCTGCCTGCCTGGGGGCTGCTCTCCCTCTGTTGATCCAGGCCGAGGATCTGCAGTTCAGAAAGAAGTAGGGGGTGGGGGGTGGGGAGGCAAGGAGAAAGCAGCAAGTCTCCATTATTTAGGAGACTGGCTGTGACTAGAGGCATCCCATGTCTCCTCTGGCTCTCTCACCTCCATTCAGTCCTGAGACTGAGAACAGGTGGAGAGACAGCTAGTAAGTTGGCCACTCACTTTCATTTGGCTTCTTGATAAATCTATAGAGGAATTTGTTCTGCTTTGGGTCTGTGCCTCTCAACACCAAAGAAAGAAGTAGGGGTGGGGGTGGGGAGCAAGGAGAAAGCAGCAAGTCTCCATTATTTAGGAGACTGGCTGTGACTAGAGGCATCCCATGTCTCCTCTGGCTCTCTCACCTCCATTCAGTCCTGAAAAACTGTTTTCCCTGAGAACAGGTGGAGAGACAGCTAGTAAGTTGGCCACTCACTTTCATTTGGCTTCTTGATAAATCTATAGAGGAATTTGTTCTGCTTTGGGTCTGTGCCTCTCAACACCAAATAAGCACTTAGAGCTTATGGCTTTCTTTTTCTGTTTAAATCAATCAAGGACACATTCTTCAGCCTTTTCTTTTGGGTTCTAGATAGTACGCAAAATCAAAAGAAGAAAGGGGTGCTGAGGATCAAACCCAGGCCCTCATGCATGCTAGGCAAGTACTTTACCATTGAGCCATATCTCTAGCCCAGGGCTGGATTTAAAACACCTTGTTTTAGTCCAGGTGGCACGCACCTGTAATCCTAGCACTCAGAGGCAGAGGCAGAAGGATTGTGAGTTTGAGGCCAACCTGGCTACATAGTGAGACCTTGTCTTTAAATAAATAAATTAAACCCCTTGTTTTAGAAGAATCATGGAGAGCACTCTCCTTTAGCAACAAAGTTGGAAAACAGCAGTTGAGTGTCAACAGCTCCATGGCTTGCTTTGCCAAATCAAATCTGTTCCTCTGGTAATCCAGATGTGTTCTACTAAAGTCTCAAAACACTAAATGTATATATGGAAAAACCTCCTGAGTAGAGAGTCCTGAGCTAGGTGAGATACATAGATGTATGTGTCTATGTATGTATGTCCTAGAGCAGTTTAGAAGCCAGAAGGAGAGACAATGTTTAGTATCAAATCAGTAACTCTACCAGGGATGAGGAGCGTTTCCAGGGACTGAGGAGGAGGGGCTTGGCAGAGAAGGCGTGGGTTTGGCAGCTTCCATGGGAGGATAAATGGGCCTGATCTCCTGATCTCCTGAGATGGATATAACCTTATCAGGAGATTATAAGGGAAATAACCTTATAAACAATGACCAAACTTCACTTATTTCATAAATGAGTTCTTGCTTTTCACTTAGCTTTTTTTTTTTTAATTATTCACTTTTTCAAGTATTTATTGAACACTTATTCTTTGGCCAGTTTATAAACTCTTTTTTTTTTTTCCTTTAATTAAGGGTCTCTCACTTGCTACGATCTACCACTTGAGTCACACCCCACATTCCCAGCCCTTTTTTTTTTTTTTGCTTTATTTTTCAGATAGGGTCTTGCTGATTTTTTTGCCCCACTGATCTCAGACTACTATCTACCTGACCTCCTGAGGATCTGGGATTACAGGCATGAGCTGCCACCCTGACTAGACATTTTTCTTAAGTGCCTAGTATGTGATAACACTATGTCACTCACTATTCTTTCACCTGCTGGTCACGTAGAGAAATATTCTAGAGATTCTTGTGTTCCGTTTGGAGGGAGTAGCACAATGGAATTAAGCATTCAAGCTCTCCCGACCTTTCCAGGTTGGGGTGGGGATGAGAAAACAGGGCCTACCATTCACTTACATATGCTTTCTATTTGTGTAGACTTTTCGTGCACTGGCATCCACTGATCTATTTGATTTTCATGACAGTTCTGTGAGGGATACCTGACAGGACACCTCTGACTTGATTTTATCAGATCCAAAATCAGAAAGTCCATGAGTGTTGGATGTGATGGAAGTACCATACCTAGCATGGTATACTTCCCAACCCCAAGTCACAGTCTCACTTCACATTTACCATGGAGTGTTCTTTGCTCCTTCTTGGGACAGCTTGATTCTTCATGTCTAAGCAGACCCAAGAATTTGTATTTTTTCAAAGCCCCCAAGGGGGACTCATGTCCATTTGGATTAGAGAGCCACAGGTTCTAGCCCTTTATGGAAAGATACAGAGGAAAGGGTATTGGAGCCACTTTTCCCGGGTTCCACAGAATACTGGAGGGTTCCCACAAAACGCCCATCTCCTACCAACTCTCATTCTTTGTTTCCTGAATATTTCCTGCAGGCTGGAGATTTGTGGAGGCCAATGGTACTGTAGAATTTGCAGGGTCCATCCTCAGGTGGATCACAAAACTTAAATTCTGTGGCTAGGCAAAGTTGAGGTCCAGGAGGAGGTGGACTCATTCATGAATAAAAACAGCTGGTATTTATTGAGTGTGAATTAAATATCAGGCCCTCATTCCTCCACTTTATATACAAAGTACTATATCCCCCCTTTAACAAACGGGAAAACTGAGATTTAGAGCGAGAAAACATTTTCCAAGCGCAGACTCCAAAGGCAAGCTGCCTTGTTCATGGTCAGGGTTCCAGGGTCTCCCCACCTCGCCTTCCAAACTGCTGATCTGTCCACGGCCTGAAATCCGGGCGGTGCTCAGATGGAGGAGCCAAAGGTGACCAGACTGCAAGAGAAGGACCGGCAAAGCACTGGGCAGCTCAGCGGGCCACTGACTTCTGGCGGCCAAGGCTTGGGAACTACAAGGCCCAGCAGGCAGCTGCAAGGGGAGGGGAGGGGGTGGGACTAGCGCGGGTGGGAGTGAGAGCGCGAGCCCTCGCGCCTCGCCGGCGCACAGCGCTCGGAGCGCTTCTGCGGCCACTGGTGCGGCGGCCTCGGAGCAGGCGACGGCGAGCGGGAGCCGGAACGCCGGTCCAGCCGCAGCGCGCCGAGGAACCCGGGCTGTGCCCGGAGCTGGGCGGCAACGTCCGAACAGCCCCGAGACTGTGCTTAGCGCATTGCGGCGACCTCGCCTTCCCGGCCGCGAGTGCGCGCCGCAGCTGGAGAAGCAGCGGAGCCCGTGGACTTTTCTCCGGTCCGAGGGGCACCCTGCAGGGCGCAGCGTACCGGTGCTGCAGTCGGACAAGCAGCGGCGCAGGGGTCCCCGAAGGGCGATGGAGCGGGGGCTACCAGAAGCGTGAGGCGCCGTCGCTGGGTTCTGGAGAGGGGGGGCGCGAGGTCTGGAGACCCCGGGCGGCGGACGGGAGCCCTCCCCCCGCGCCCCGCCTCCGGGGCACCAGCTCCGGCTCCATTGTTCCCGCCCGGGTTGGAGGCGCCGAGCACCGAGCGCCGCCGGGAATCGAGCGCCGGCCGCCGGGCTTTCGCGACACCGCAAGGACCCGAACGGAGTCCGGGGGGCGACGGGCCGGAGCGCGGCACGCGGGCACCCGCCTGCCTGCCCAAGCCACGGCGAGCTCTCCAGAGGCGGAACCCAAGCGCCAAGTGAGGTAAGAGCCGCGGCGCCTCCAGATCCGGGGTGGGCTGGGCGTCCCGAGCGGCCCCCGGTGCTGGAGCCTCCTGGCAGCGCGCTTCGCCCGCCGCAGCCCAGCCGCAGCCGGCGCCTCCCTCCACTCCTCACCCGCCCCTCCACCTCCCGGCTCCCTCCCTGGCGCCCCCCTTTGCGCTCCCCTCCTTCCTTCCCTCCCTCCGCCGGCGTCGCCTTCTGCGCCCCTTCCCCGCGCTCGTCCCACCGCTCCTCCTGCTGCCCAACTTTTCCGCCAACTCGCTCTCCGGTGACTGGCGAGGCTGCGGCGGCCCCGCCGTGAGTTCGGGGAGGGACAGGGCTGGAGAAAAGGCGGCGCAGGCCCTCGGTTCCTCGGACGGGGGAGGAGAGCGGGAGTGGGCAGCGAGATGGTGGTGTGTGTGTGTGTGTGTGCGTGCGTATGTGTGTGTGTTGTGTGCCCTTTTGGTCCCCTTGTGAGGATTCACTCCCAATGCAGCAGGTAGCTTTGGGCGCAAGTCTAAAAATCTGGGTTCTTTCTACGTCTCTTTCCACCTCCGGGAAAGTCTGGGGTCAGGGTTGGGGGCGAGTGAGTGGGGGCTTGAAGAGGGAAGGAAATGGAGGGGAAGGTTAGCTTGTGTTGGAATAGGTTTTAAGGAGGTGTCGTCACTGAATGGCTGAATCTGCTTTAGCGGAGAGCGAGGAAAGATTCCCCTTTCTAACGGCGGGGGTGATGTTTTATTTAGACGATTTCGGACCGGGTCGGAAGTTTGGAGAAGGGGAGGGTGACCCGCGGGTGATGTTAAATCCCGGTGGGGGGCGGGGGCCGTTCAGTTCCAATCTGGCTCTAGGAGGTGGGGGAAGGGATGAGAGTTTTGTCCGGTGCGGCTCTCCCGGCAGCGATGCTTGTTGCTTCTCTGGCCCTAACCCCTCTCTTCGGCCTGCTGCTCCCTGCTCCCCCCTCCCACTATGTTCGGGGCGGGGATAAGAGAGAGGCTAGAGCCCACATTTGCAGAGGAATTTATTGACGTAGCAGATAGGGTTTGAGTAAGACACGTACCCGTCGTCCCCGCCAGCCCCCACCCCCAAATCAGGCAGCCAGACACCTTTTTTTTAGAGGGAGGGGACCTGCTTCTCTGTTCTGAGCCTAGGAGCTAATAACCCATTTGTAAAGCATTTCTACGGTGCCCTACCCCCATTTCCCAGATGTAGCGGCCGCATCTGGTTCCGTTTCATCCCATACGGGTACACCGCAGCCACATTAACATCCCTCTTCCTCCCCTCCCCTCTCCTAAATTAAAACTTGGGATTCTTCAACTTGCCACCTCCCTCCTTAAAATTTCTTGAAACTTGGAGATGAGGCTCCGGGATTGGGGGAGAAAAGAATAGTTATCGTGGATGGCAAGTTATTTCGGATCCCATCAAACTAGTTACTCTACCTGCTGGTGAATGGCGGGAGGGGTGCTTTCGAGATTGTGCCCAAGAGAGTTGTTTTGGGAAATGAGGCCAAGGTTTTCGAGAGTGGCACTGGTGAATGGTTCATCTGCTAGAGGTGGCCTCTTTGGCAGTGGGTCTGGCCCAAAAGTGGACTTGACAGATGTTTCTGGAACCAAAGCACTGCTTTCTCTTCCCTTTAATTATATCTGGAATTGAGAGAGCGTCTGTCCGGGTGCGGAGCCCGCGGGCTGGTCCCTCCCTGCTGCGAGCCCCGCACGCAGTCGCGGAGGGAGGGGGCTGCCGCTGCCAGAGACCTCCCTGGGTGTTTATCGGGAGTTTTCCGGGTTGCAGCCCTCAGAAATAAAAGCGGGTGTTTTCACCGTGTGAATAACGGTTACAGGTTTGAAAGTGAAGCCGGAGGTGGAATATCGAGTTGTTGTTGAATAGTCTTTGAGACAGGAAAGCATCTTAAAATCCAAATTTTGCAGTAGTGTGGGGAGAGTTGGTCCCTCTCACCCTCTGCTTTCCAGTCTCTTTCAACTTGAAAACACTTCTCTGGTTTCCTTCTTTGGGCGGTAGTTGGGGAGGCTGTAATGAAATCTCACTTTCTCTAGACATGGTAATTAAGGTGACTGTTTCCTCCGCAGATGTGCCCTGCCTTTTGCGCCTCCGGACCAGTGCTTTTTTTGGAATGCCATCTAAATTGTAGAACCTTTGCCTTGAGACTGTTGAGCTGAAAGTGGCCATTTTCCTCCCTTGGCCCAGGCTCCCGGTTTCCTCTCTGAGGCTTGTTTAAAAGCTAAGTAGCAGGGCCCCTGGGACATGCCACGGCCTAGCTAATTACCCCCACGCCTGGGTCATCTCTTCCTTTCGGTGACTGAGGGCCAGCAAGCCGTCTGCCCTGATGGCCTGCCTCCTCCCTAATGACTTGTTTACATATTTCCCCTCAGTAGGTTGGGAGATGCTCCAGGGCTGCTGCTGCTGTCTGTGTTATGTTTGGGGACAGGGAGCCCTACTGCCTGGTTCCAGCTTGGATGGTTATGTGCTGCACCAGTGGAAAGCCTCTTGAAGTATCTGTTGCATTTATTCCTAGTCATAGCTGAGTATCAGCTTTTTAGTGTGGGGTATCTGGATTGAGAGCCACTTAGGCACGTGCACTTTCACTGCCAGCTTTTACCATACAGGCAGACATGCCCATTTCGAAGGGTACAGCTCCAAAGTAGACAGTCAGGATGCTTCTTTTCCTTGGCCTCTGGCCATGGAGCATGTTAGAAAGTTCCATTCTGCATCCTTTGAATGGCAAGGGGAGCACAGGGACAAGAAGAAATGGAGAAGGAGCATCCCAGATGTTATTCCTCCCTCCTTGGGGAAGAGGATTAGAATATATGCAGGCAGCCCTAAGCCTGGGCTGGCTTTATTCCTGGTGGACTTGAGGGTAAGAAAATTGAATTGAGCATTGGACAGAGAGACTCCAGCCTTGGAGACCAAGGAAAATCCATGGGTTTTGTTTTTAATGATGTGTTTTTTGTTTATTTGGGGTATTGAACTAAAACAAGACTCCTAAAATAGGAGACTTGCTCATGTGAGCTTGGGGTTTTAGCAAGCTTCTCTGAAGGCTTTTTTCTTGCCTCCATTTTTTGTAATCTCTTTCATCAAAATGGCTGTTAGTTTAAAAAGCTTCCTAGGAAGTTTGAGCCTGTTGCTGCTGGAGGAAAATGAATTAGAATTGATTCTAATGTCTTGTTCTGAAAGGACCTCACTCACATCACTTGAGATGAGTTTCATTTCCTCTTGGGAAATTTGACTAACATTTGTCTTCCCCAGGGCTCTGTGAAAGGTCTGAATGCTCTAGGGATGATGGGAGTCCAGATGTAGAGCTGTGGAGAAGGTTCTGGTGTTTCCAGAGGGGATTCAATACCAGACATGGGTTAGGGTATTTGTTTTTTCTCCCAGGGTTGCATTGCCTCAAACAGGAGTTATCTCCTCATCACCACCCCTTGCATTAAGAAGCCATGTTTGGTTTTCCTCCTAAGCCCCCAAGAAAGGAGCACTGCTCATTCCCAGAATCATGTGGCACAATTAGTGTTTCACTTATTGCTCTCTCACTCTCTCTCTCTCTTTTTTTTTTAATTTGAGACTGGGTATCATGATGTATCCCAGGCTGGCTTTTTTTTCCTCATGGTGGTGGTACTGGAATTCGAACTCAGGACCCCGTACTTGCTAGGCAAGCACTCTACCATCCAGGCTGGCCTTGAACTAACTTGAGATCCTCCTGCTTAACCGCCTAAGTAGTGGGATCATAGGCCTGAACCATCCTGCTTAGCTGTTGTTAATTTTTTATATACTTCTCATTTGCATAGATATTTGGATCCTTTTTTATTATTATTCCAGACTCAAACAGTTGGCATTTCCTTTGGATCGACTAAAATTTTATAAGCAGAGCTGCCTAACTCTTCTCAATTGCTTATTCAAGTACCTGTCCTGCCCTCTCAGTAGAGATTGCTCACTTTTGGGAAAAGCCACAACTTCTGTTAAGTAGTTAGTAAATTTTATTCCTGTCTAAAGGGATTCATATTTCAGTGTTACTTATACAGTTCTGGGCAATAATATGTTTAGAAAATTTCTCACTTGGTTTTCTTTGGAATAGAGTGGTTGGCTAAGAAGGGGAAACTGAAGCTCAGGGAAACCTCAGGTGAGGTGACTGTCTCAGGGTGGCAGGGTCAGAAATGGAAAGGCAAAAGTTTTTGTTACTTTGTCCAGAGAACAGGAAGACAAATCTTGGCCCTGATCTCATCAGCTGGTTTTCTTTGCATCATTGTTAGACAAGGAGAGTTGATGTTCATAAAATCTTTACTGTTAGAATCAGGGAAAGGACTCGAGGTCACGTGGTCCAGGCTCTCTACCAGACCCTCTCTCCATCTTCTGTCAGATGGGTACTGAAAAAGGAGACAGTGGCACTTTCATGCACACTGTCCTCTCAGTCCACATAACCACCTAGAACATAGGCGGGGCAAATATTTTCACCCTCCTGCCAGGGTGAAAACTGAGATACCATGTCCCCTTTCATTCCCCATGGAGACCTCTACACCCAGGCAAGTTGGGCTGGGAACCCCAGAGCCCTGACTGATACTTAAGAGACTGATGGGAGCCAGCTGCAGGGTCTCTGGGGAAGCTGCCGTACACCTGTGAGGCTACAGGTCACATCTGTCAAACAGTGAAGGAAAGAGACTGTTCCTAAGGGCTTTTAAGAATTCATTAATTAGAATGAGAAGAAGGTGAGGTGGCAGTCCCTAGGATCCCAGACAGCATGTAGACTAGTGGTTTGTGTCACTGGATTTTTCTGCAGGTGTGTGGAATGGGGAGTATGTGCTCACTTAGCCTTTCCACTTCAGGAGTTAATGCCAGGAGGATGGGTTTTCTTAGCATCCTTGTTTTACATATGGGAAACTTGAGGCCTAGAAGGGTAGAAGAGAGAGGAAGGGGGCGGCTTTTGTACCTTTTTGGGCAATCAGTTGGAGGGAAAGTGCCAGATTAGTTTGAAGTGCACAGATCATGAGGCTAAAAAAGAACAGTCTACATGTAGCCCACAGCTACAGGAGGTAGGCAGGCTTCTTAGAGGACAGGCTGGCTGAGTGGCACTGGAAGCTGCCTGTCTGCTACAGTCAAAACCAAATTTAATCATTTCAAAATGATAACACCTTCCAGCCACCCTATTTGGATACTAAAAATCCATTCAGTGCTGTGGTGGTTACTGTGAGACTTAGGTTTTCTTAGTTGGGCTCATCTTTCTGGGTGACAGGCCTTTGTTGGTGAGGTGTATCTTTAAGATATAGGGATGTGTGGGTTTAGGAATGTCTTCCAGGGAGCTTTGCTTCTCTACCAGATCTGAGATTGTGCCCCATCCTGTGTCTTGACAGCCCATCTGTGATCTACTTCCAGGGTCTTTCTGTTCACCAAAGAAATAGAGAATGAAGACTCTTTAACTCCCAGAGTTAATTTGAATTTGTCCTTATCCACTTGGTTTGGTTTTTTCTTTCTTTCTTTTTTTTTTTTTTTTTTTGAGATAGCCATATAGCTCAGGCTGGCCTTGAACTCTTGATCCTCCTATCTCAGTCTCCTCACACTTGGGTTTCTTTATGGTATGGGAATCCCTTTGAACCTGCATCCAGTGGACCCAGGGTTTTTTTTTTGTTTTGTTTATTCATTTGGTTTTTTTTTTTCTGTGCTGGGGATGGAACCCAGGGCCTCTCAAGCATTCCACCACTGAACTATAGCGCCATTCCCAGAGCCAGGTTTGATTAATACCTTACTTGTATCCTTCTATCTTGTCCTCTAGCATCTAAAGAAACTTGGGTAGGCTAGGGCTCATGCTATCGCTTACCAGCTATATGTCCCTGGGCAAAGTATTTCAGTTCTTTGAGTCTCCGTTTCCTCATTGCTTAGAAGAGAACTATACTTCTTATTCTCCAGAAATTCATAAGGAGTACATTTTATAATTACAAATGAATTGTATCTAGTACCTAGTACAAGCTTTTTAGAGTGAGTATTCAGTAAGTAGCCCTCTCCTAAATTCAGAAAAATTAAAGAGAAATGTTTACTTCTTTGAAATCATTAAATTTTAGAAAGCCTGGGGGGGGTAGCTAGTGGCAGTGCATATGTATTTCCACTGGCTAAGCACATGCAAATGAAGCCAAGAATCCGGGGGTTTTCTGCCAGCTGGGACTGACTCACTCAAAAGGGGCCCTGCCTGGCTCAGGGGGAGGTCAGGCTGAAGCACCACATTAGGACATGTTCCGGGGAAGTGGATTCTCCGAATAACTTGGATGGTTCCCTGGAGCATTTAGGACAAAAGCCACCTGGAAGACAGAGATGGTCACCCCCACATAGCCCAAACAGTGCCCAGAAAGTCTTGTCACTTGGTAAATGTTTCACAGCCATTGATCTGCTCCTTGAGACTCTAGGGAACTGTTTGAAAATTTACCATCACAGACCTGAGAAGGGTCATGGCTGCAGAATCTACACTTTTAACTCCAGCGGGCATGAGCCATCTTTGAGTCAGCCCTTGGAAGAGCCCTTTACTGTGCAGTAGGACCTTCCCTTCCATCCCCACCCTGACTTCTAGACTCATTTCCATCGGATACCAACTGTTGTCTTCCAGCATCAGGGATAACTGATTGTCTGCCTCACAATTTCATTTTCTGAGGCTCTTTGTAAATAGCTGGAGAGGGAGACTGGTAGAATTGGAGATGCCTATGAGTTGTACAGTTTTAGAGCCAAACAGAAAGAACACTGGAAGACTGGGGTTAGAGCTCAGTGGTAGTGTTTGTCTAGCATGTGGCAAGGCAGGCCCTGGGTTCCATCCCCTGCACTGAAGAAAAACAACAAAACAAAACCAAAAAACAGCGATCTTGTCTGTCAGCTTCTTCTAGGTGCAGGGAGGTTTGTCATCTTCCTGGAGTCCTCTTACTAAGTTAGTTGCTACTAACTAGTTACCTGTGTACTTGGCTCCCATTTCTTAGTCCTTGGCTTGTTCTACAATTTTTCATCTCTCTCTTCACTGAAGGAATTGGTTTGCCCTAGATGGAGTGAAGTCTTGTGCTGGGAGAGTCATCAGCCTCCTTAAGTCTCTCGCATCCTTAATTAACCTACCTTTTGTGAAGCCCTCACCTAAAAAGTAGCAGAGCAATTTGGGACTCATGAGGTCATTCACTTCCTATGTAAACAGGCTTATACTTTGGAAAACCTCATGGCAGTATTCCCAGCCAGGCTGGCATGTAGTACTTAAAACATAGTTGTAGAATTGAATGGTGTTAGTCAGCCTTCCATCACTATAACAAAATACCTGAGACAATCAGTTTAAAAATAGGAGAGATTTAGCTGGGCACAGTGGCTCATGCCTATAATCCTAGCTACTTGGGAGGCCAGCCCAGGCAAAATGTTCGTGAGACCTCATCTCAACCAATAAAAAGCTGGGTGTGGTTGCTACACACCTGTCATCTCAGCTGATGGAAAGCATAAATAGGACGATTGTGGGCCAGCCTGGATATAGACATGAGACCCTATTCAAGAAATAAAGTAGAAAAGGGGATGGGGGCAGGGCTCATGTGATGGAGTGCCTACCTAGAAGCACAAGATCCTGAGTTCAAACCTCACCACACACGCACACAAAGGAGAGATGTAGTGGAGAGATTTCAGACATGGTTAATTGGCTTCATTGCTTTTGAGTGTGTGGCAAGCAGCACATTGTGGGAGGAGCATGTAATAGGGGAAGCCCATTTGCCTCATGGCCAAGAACAAAAAAGATGGGAAGATGAGGAGACTGCATTTCCACATTTCCCTTCATGGACCCCTCTCAATGACCTACAACCTCCTACTAGGCCGCACCTCTTAAAGAGTCTACCACCTCCAAGAATGCATAGCTAGGGAACAAGCCTTTAACACATGGGCCTTTGAGGAAACATTCCAGATTCAACCCATAGCATTGAACTAAAGCACCCCCTCAGCCTAGTTAAAACCAGTAACCTCTGAGTCAGTGTTGGGATAGGCTCACAGTTCTCTTCTTTGTACCTTAAGGAACACTTGATTGCGTCATATACCCTTTAGGCAGGGTGACCCAGTGGCATGCTCTACCTCCTTCTTTCTCTTTGCCTCCTCCCCTTGCAGACCCTCCTAACCCTTTGGTTCTTTTCTTTCCTTAGAGTCAACCTGAGAAGGACGATCGAGCTCAAGATCGATCCATGGAGGTGTGGAGCCTTGACACCAACCTCTAACTGCAGAACTGGGATGTGGAGCTGGAAGTGCCTCCTCTTCTGGGCTGTGCTGGTCACAGCCACACTCTGCACTGCCAGGCCGGCCCCGACCTTGCCTGAACAAGGTAAGGCAACAAGCCAAGGGTCAGCCTGGACGCCTGAGCCTTGGAAACAGGGTGGGCTGGCATGGAGGTGATGTGGTCAACTGGGAAGGCACAGTCCCTGGTAAAGCAGCAGAGGGTTCCTTTCTGTGGGAAAGCTGCGCAAGACAGCTGGGCTGATTTGGGCCTAGTTATAAACCTAATGAACTTCGTCAGAAGCTGGGGTCATGAAAGCTGGTGTTAGAGGTCATGTGCTCCAGGTGGGTTTATGCTTTTCTCTTCCTGAGGGAAGACCATGATTGGAACCACAGAGGCTGACACATAACTCAAATGGTACATAAAATGGGCTTACCAATTGAGTAAGTGAACTGTGAATTTGGGTCAATCTTCAGAGAACATACAAGATATTGATAGTGGCTTCTGGCTTCCAGAGACTTGTTCCAAATACACATCTTCTACTGGGGCTAGTAGTCATGACCGCATGCCTGCTTTTCACCTTCATTGACCTTGTCTCCTAGGCCCTGTGTGAGGGCTTGCTAAATAGTTTGTTTTGGAACCATTCTGTTTTAGGGATCTGAGAGACTGAGAACTAGGGGGCATGTGGGGTGGGGGAGTGTGATGGTGTGTGGAGGCCTGTAGCACGTTGGAAATTCACAGATTACTGGTAACCAGCGGACTTGCCCCCTGCCCATGGGATTTGCTTGAGTTGTGAGAGTGCCTTGTGGAGATTATAGGTACAGCACACCTAGTGGCTTTTGAGGAACTTGGAGAATTAATGTTGGAGCATTTCTGCTGCCAAAGGGCAGTGTGGCTGGAGTCAGGGAATGCTGGCAGGCAGTGGGTAAAAGGCTCAGGTGCACACAAAGTGGTGACTGTGTTTATGGGACTGTCAGGGACCTGTTTGAATGATGACTGATTGGTGAGGGTATAATTTACATACCATAGAATGTACCAATTTTAAGTGTATAGTAAGGATGTGTTTTAATGAATGTCTACCCCCATGTAACTACCACTTGAATCAAAATACAGAATATTTTCATCACTAAAAATTTCTCTCATGTGCCTTTGCAGTCCATGGCCAACCTCTGATGTGTAGGTTAGTTTTGTCTGTTCTAGAATTTCATGTAATGGGATTATATGAGTGTGTATCTACTAACCTGTTGATGGCCAGTGGCTCACTCTATTAGTCCATTTTCTATTGCTGTAACAAAATACCCAAAGCTGTCTACTTGTAAAGAAAATAAGTTTATTTAGCTCTCAGTTTTGGAGACTTTAAGTCCAAGAGCAGGCAGCCTCATCTGTTCAGCCTCTGGTGAGGACTCTAAAGGCTACATTACAAAATGGCAGATGGCATCACAGTGGGAGTGTGTAAGAGAGAGATCCCTTGGCAAGACAGGAAGCCAGAGACCAGGAAGGAGCCAATCTTGCTTTCTTTAAAACAACTCTCTTTCACAGGAAGGGAACTAACATTAACCCCTTCTGTAGACAGTGACACCCCCCCCACCCCCACCCCCCGCCACCAAGTGACCTTCACTAAGCCCCAACTCTTAAAGACTCCGGGGACCAACCTTCCATTTTCCTTTAACTACCTTTGTTTTGATTTTGGCTCCACTTCTTACTGAATGTTGGCTTTTGGAAAGTTCCTCTCTGTGCCTTTCTATAAACTCTATCAGTAATGAATATGTGTTCATAAGATCTTTGAAAGATCAAATGAGAATGTCTGTGAAACTCTAAACTGTGCCTGCACACAGCAAGTGAGCAACAAATGGCTGCTCTTGGTCCACTTTCTTGGGACCCCAGAGGCACCCCATATGCTAAGGGACTTGAATGCCTCAGGACACAGCAGTGGAAAGTCACTTGACTTGGGACAAGTTTGGTGGAGGAAGTCCTTGTCTTAGTGTGGCTCTTTCACCTAGAGGATCCCTCATGAACTTTGTGATAGAGCATGTGCCCTGCCATCTTCAGGGAATGTCTGTGACTGGAACGTTCGTTGTAAGAGAAAGCCTTAACTTCATGCTTTGTAAACTCTAAGTAACCTTACAGACATGAAGTATATTGTATAGTCTTAGCCTAATGATTTTTAAATAATGCTGCTATTGTCTTCAGAAACATTATAATCTATGTATAAAGGATTCGTCCAAAAGTTGAAAGCAAAGTACCAAACACCCTGCTTGCAGTGAGAACTTTGGTAAGGCTTTGCTGCAGTTGTGTGTCGGCAGCCCCTCCCCCTGTTAAATGCAATCCTAGCGGTCTCAGCAAATGCTCCTGAGGGACCCCAGAGAGCCTGGCGGTTCTGGCTGTCCTCAGAAAGTTGATTTAATAAGGGTTCCAGGAAAGCCAGCCTCCCTCCTCTTCTTCCCTCCTTTCCTGCCTGGGTTTGCCATCTTACCAAGTCTTAAGCTTGTTTAGGGTCTGGCAATGAGGTTTGTGGGTCACAGGCCAAGAGGTACAATACCTCTTTAAAAAGTTAAGTACCACCTTCAGAGACATTCCTGTTTCCATATATTTTTCTCTGAGAATAGGACTCGAGGAAAAGCAAGTAGGGGCTGGGCCACTTCTGACACTTGGAAGTAGGTGTCCTGCCCCCTTTGCAGCAGTCATGTAAGTTGAGCACTGCAGACCCCAGACCCCAGACCCCGCGGTACAGGCACAGTGTGAGACTTGCAGTATTGAAATACTTGCCTCTATCTGCAGAAACCTGCAACTTATAAGTGATTTAATGGGCTGGGGTTTCACAGCTCCTCCCACCCACAAAGATTTAAGGGAGTCTGGTGGCTGGTTGAAGGGGGAGAAGTTATGTTTAATGGAAAAACTGCACGTTTCCATTGCTGGCTGCAAGCTCCCTACATGCTGGCCATGCACTACAAAGCAGGGCTTTGTCTCTGTTCTGCAGAAACCTGCAACCATGGGAAGAGGTTGCAGGTGGGGCCAGAGCCCTGGCCTCAAGTTGTAGGTCTCTGGCAGCTCCGCATCCCTCTGGGGATCCTGCCTTTGGCCCAAAGGAGTGTGCTTTCAGCCTGCTGTAGGGGGAGCCTGAATGGATACCAAGGGGGTATCCCATTAGCAGACATGCTGTGATCCCTGCTGACTGCAACCATTGGTGCTGCCTGAAGACCAGTGTCCCACAGCTGCACTGGGACACAGTGCTCCCCTACTCTACCCTGTCCCTGTCAAAATATCTTCTAGGGAAAAGAACCTACCTGTTTGCTTTTAATTCACGCTGGATGGTAAGAGAAATTCCAGAAGGCTAGTGGAATTCCGTGGAGCAAAAGGTGATGATGAATGCGGTTGAGAACAAGGGTAGAAGACTAGGGTCTGTAGAAATCTGCAGGGTACTCTATGCTGGCAGTTTTTCCCCAGGATCTACCTTCTCACCTTCTCCCCAGTGCCTTGGAAAGGTGTTTGCAAGTGTTGGGGGGAGGTGAGGTGGGAGGGGAGTGGGAGGACCCAGACCTCAGCATGAGAGAGAATGTGAGCCCTCCTTGTGCTCACGTGTCTGCTTGACCATGGTAGGCAAATGCAGCTGAGCCACTCCAAAGCTGTGTTCTTGGCTTTGGCTTCTGCATAGCTACACCATTAGCTTCACTGATTTTCCACTCTGGTTTTGCCAGCCCACTCCCCTAAGTCAGGGAGGAGGAATTTCTCAGGGAGAAAAGAACAAATGGCTGTCCAGAAGGGGCAGGGAGGGGACCCAAGCAGTCAGTCTATGATTCTGTCACCTGACTTCTATGACTACCTAGAGTGCAGAAACTAGGAAGATGGATTCTTCTGGAGTCTGTGGAGGGTTATCAGGGCTCAGCCAGCTGGCCAGGTTGTTTGCCCCTGGTCAGGCAGAAGCAGTGACTTTGTGTCTTAACAGTGATGGATGGCTTTGAAGAAGTGAGTTCTGGGGAGTCATCCAGGAGGGTGAGGGCTGGGGTCAGAGAGCCTGACCAGCAGCTGCACCCTGTTTTTATAATGCCTCCTTCCTCTGTGGCCACTGGGGGCTCCTGCTCCCTCTGTAGGCAGCACCTTTGCCTCCCTCTTCCTTCCCTGAAACCTGGAAATGAGACAGCTGTTTCCCTGCTGACCCAGAGAAGTACAGCTGCTTTCTCCTGGGCTCCTGAGTTCAGCTGCCTGAGCTTTCTGCTCATTCTGGAGACGACTTATCACCAAGGCTGTCTTCCCTCTGCCTGCCACCCCACTTTTTCTGGGCCCTAAATGATTTTGCCTCAGGTTAACTGCCTGACCTGGGCTCTTAAGGGTCTTAAGCAAATCCCAAACCCTTTCCTTTAAGAGAAGCCTTCTGGAGTCTGGGCTGAGCCTGACCTTGGAGATTGGCTCTGATCTTGAGCAGCAACATACCATTTGAGCCTTGAGTGCCTGCCCTCCTGTTCTCACTCCTGGTCCTTAGCTTATATCAACTCTCACCTTTCCACATTTTAATTGGTGCCCACGGCCCTTCATTCAAGTTTCTGTGCCCTGCACGCTGAGTAAGGCTGGGGAGCGGGGTCTGTCCACTTAGTTCCTAGCACTGAGAAAGATCTGCGCCAGTATTGCTTGAAACTGCCCTGTCCTCATCCTGCATGTTGCAGCACAGCAGGGTCTCTTGGGATGACTTGTGAAAGGGAGTTGACTGTGGGGCCATGGGCCCTGCCATTGGTGTGAATTCGGATGTGTTTCCCAGGCCCTGGGTATGTAGGTGTATTGAGCCCAAAGTGTGTGAGAGGTTCAAGGAGTTCAGCAAAGCCTGGACTTAATGAGCTTAGGCAGAGAAAGGGGCAGAAATCATCAACACTGGAATTTCAAATGGTTAATCCAAAAGAACATTGGCTTCAGAGCTTATTCCCTTTCCTGGTTTCTCCAGATTGAAAACTAGCTTCTGACTAGTAGTCCATTCCTTCACTGAATTTCTTTGATTCGCTCATTCATTCATTCATTTTTTTCTTGAGTACAATGTACACTGTATACACATCCACTGTATATCCAGGTCTGATAGCCAGAAATTCCCATCTCTATCCATTTCTCCTTTTCACTCTATGATT